ATTAATAAAAAGGAAAAGAAAGAGACAGATTAAAAGAATAAAAAAAAAAAAATAATAGTAATATAGATAATAAACAAATTAATATATATATATATATGTGATATTAAGATAAATAAATAAATATACAAGGAAAAAATAATAATTTAAGAGTAGACAAAACCCTCATTTTTACCCGTGATCATGTATGATTCCTTAGTATAAGATATAGAATCTAGGGTGTTCTTGTTTTTCTTTAGTTCGTTTCTAAAACACTAGAAGCTCCCTTAACGTGATTAGAATTGAATAAGGCGAGATGTCGCCAAGCAAAGACAACAAACACCGCGTCTTTTAGTCATCTTATTATGCCTCCCTCGTTCCCCCCCGACTAGTACTACTGAATGACTGAACCATTAATGTATTTTGCTCGAGGCGATGAATGGAACAGGATCTTACCAATTAACGCTGGTATACTGTTAAAAATACAAATAACAACTTCTCTATAGTTATTCTCATCATTGAAAATTCGTCCAGAAATTTTGAAATAATCGTGAGCTAATCATATATATCACGTACTTAGCCGCTGTACACGTTTTCTTCATACACGTTTTAGTCCAACATCGTTTTCGAATCGTCTCGAACGATTTAAAAATACCGTTGGACTGCTGCATGAGCATGCGTAGTTGACTCGTCGAGATTTTCAACTCTCCGATCCCTTCGTCGACCCACACGTTAAGATATTTGCTGTCGTTCAAAAATCACTCCTCTACAAATCATTTTTAAATCCTCCGTTTTAGGTGATCCACAAAGTATCGAATGTTTGTGTTTTTGTTTCAAGAAAATTGGGTCTATATCATGCTAATGTGATGTTTGAAAGTCAAATGTCAAGTCTCACATCGATAATTATAAAATTCCAAAGTGTCTTTAATATTGCCCTTACACCGACGAAGATATAAATTATTGAAACTATAAGTATTTTGTTGGGAATTCTTAAAAAGAAATGTGCAGTCCACTGATAACGAAGCTCGCCGGTCATCAGATGCCCGTACACAATACATTGAGCTGCACTGAAAGATACTTAGATTCAAAAACTCCTATCCTCGTCAGTTTAAGGCCCGGGGGGGGGGGGGGGGGGGGGGGGGGGGGGGGGGGGGGGGGGGGGGTACTCCGCCAGGATTTGGGTAGGGGTGTTCCGCTGGGATTCTGAAAGGAGTATCCTGTTTATGACAAAAAAACTCAAATTTATAGACCCTGTTTATGACAAAAGATATAATTTATATTGCACTGATTTCCTGTTTCGATTATCATGTCAGCTCGTGTATTGTTTTTTTTTTTTTTACGACTATAATAACCAGTTTCGGTCAATACAAAATTAGAAACCCTGAATATGACTGGAAACTCAGGAAGAACTCAGGAAGACAAGAAGCTCGAAAAACCACACCCTGTTCAGTGGATCATCCCCGTATAGTCCATATATATTTTACCATTATCATAGTAATACATTGGATATTTGTCATGCTAGCGTCACGTACGTCTATAAGAACGACACTACACTACCAGACACAGGCTCTTTGTCAGTAGCAAAACCACCACGCCTTGTGCTTCTCCAAACACTTCACATCTCAGGCTCTGTCAATCCCCGCTACACGTCACTACACTACCAGACATAGGCTCTTTGTCAGTAGCAAAACCACCACGCCTTGTGCTTCTCCAAACACTTCACATCTCAGGCTCTGCCAATCCCCTCTACACGACACTACAGTACTAGAACCAGGCTCTTTGTCATTAGCAAGACCACCACGCCTTGTGCTTCTCCAAACACTTCACATCTCAGGCTCTGTCAATCCCCGCTACGCGTCACTACACTACTAGGCACAGGCATGTCGAGGCTTTATTTCACGTTTCAATGATTTTATTGAAATTTTTGAAGAATCCCCATACATTTCCTTATAACATGACATCACAGAAACCAAGCTTGGGCTACCTGTGGTCTCTATCTAGACTTTCCTAGTGGCAAGCTGACCCCTTTTATGTATTCTCCTTGCTTGGCGTTTCGAAATGGGCTATCAAGTCGTTGCACAGCCTGTTCCTTGAACATCTGTTTTGGTGACAGTCATAAAGATCGTCATCGAAGGCAAAGTGCGCAATGCAGACCGCTCTTTCCTTCAGGTTATCGGACAACAGGTAATCATCATCAGATAGATCACCTTTTATTAAAGCACGTCGGATATAATGTAGGATGATCAGGATCACCTTTGGTTCTGAGGACATAACAAAAACCAGTTATTGTTATAACTTTATTGGAAGATGTGTTTGCTTTCGAGAAGGAAGGAGACACGGACTGGAGTGCAGCATGATCCGAGGGTTGTTCTCGTCCGGGTTCTCCGGTTTTTCCTCCCCGCTGCAAAACCTAACAACCTAAGTTCTAATTCGATCTGTGACTGAGTTAGTCGTGCCCTGACTTTGATCGGCCCAGAGGTTGTTTAAGAGTTCAATCTGTGAATTAGCCATGCCCTGACTTTGATCAGCCCAGAGATTGTTTCAGGGTTCGATGCGTGAATAAGCCATGCCCTGGCTTTGATCAGTCCAGAGTTTGTTTCAGGGTTCGATGTGTGAATAAGCCATGCCCTGGCTTTGATCAGTCCAGAGGTTGTTTCAGGGTTCGATCTGTGAGTAAGCCATGCCCTGGCTTTGAACAGTCCAGAGGTTGTTTCAGGGTACAATCTGTGAGTAAGCCATGCCCTGGCTTTGATCAGTCTAGAGGTTGCAATTGTTTCAGGATCAAATATTTGAGTTAGCCATGCCCTGACTTTGTTCAGCCCAGAGATTGTTTCAGGGTTCGATCTGTGAGTTAGCCGTGCCCTGACTTTGTTCAGCCCAGAGATTGTTTCAGGGTTCGATCTGTGAGTTAGCCATGCCCTGACTTTGTTCAGCCCAGAAGTTGTTTCAGGGTATCCAATAAAGGTTTTCTCGTGCTGTCAGGTCAAATTTAGTCAGTACATTGAACTAGAATTAAATAGCTTTCCCCTGTTTTTTCACTGATATGTCTATACCTTCTACACCTTTCAAGGATACTTGTACATCAACTCCAATCCTGGATGAATAGTTACAGAACACCACCAAGGGAGTGTCTGGTTTCCTGTTCTTCCAATCCCAGGTTGTATTTATTTCCAGATTGTCCTTGGGAATCTTTTTTATGATGTATTCAGTGATCTGAGTCTCTATTTTTGGGTTCTTTTCATGAGCAGCCTTGATGGCGAATGTAACTGAAAGGCAAAGTGAGGACAAAGATAAAATAACTAATACTCCCAATTTTAAAATTGCGCAACATAAACTAGCTCCGTCAATCAAAATTAATACGAAGAGCCGAGCATTTTCACATCACGTCGCTATCATGCCGGCTACGCTCGCAAATACTGATACTTATTCCAGAAGATATAACTAGCTAAGAACTAGTGTGAGCTGCGTCGGTGTTTCTAATGAAACAGTAATGATGAAAAGGTAAATTATACACCGTGAAAAGATGAAAAAACTTACTGACGTTTCGGANTCTGTAGGTTGGCTGGTCTTGTTGGCTGGCTGGTCTTGTTTTGGTAACTTTCTGCAAGACATCTATCGCAAGACATTTTAGAGATATTAATTTGCAGACTTTTTTCACGATATCGCTTGGCATGCTGAAATTTTGCAGTGAAATGTCCCAAAAAGTGAAACAACTATTAGTCTGTGAAACCAAAGTGAAACCAAGCAAACATAATTTTCACAGGAGAAAATACGAAGAGATGAACTGCTAAACAATGGCTAGAGCCAATAAAAATCCTAACTATGGCTTTAATTGTGGAAAGACTGAACCTTAAATTTTAAGAAAATATAGATGAATCTTTTGTTATGCGTTTATTGTCAATTTAAACATTTTACTGTACCTTTTTACCGTCTGAACATGATCTTAAATTTCATTAATGCTCGTACAGCCCTTCCTGAACGGGTCACGCAAGCTGAAGAAATTCGCCTAAATGCTGTTATAATTTTTGCACAGAGAATCGTAAAGCAAAGTCAATGGGTACTCGACTTCGGTGGCGCTCGAACGCAGCTTCCTCGTCCTTTCTATAATAGCTAACAAGGACTTTAACGATACCACCATTCATACTGACAAAAGCGTCCAGCAAATCGACGGAAAAGTGATCAAAGGTCAACTCAACTCTATTACATCAACAATAAATACGTAACCGAGTATCAACTGACACAAGGCAATATGGTGGTGAATGGCCTCAAATAGCTTTTGAATAAAAAACAATTAAAAAAAAAATTATGAATCAAAAACAAACAGTTATCACTAGTATCTCGTCGATCTCAGTTATCAGCTAAAAARATACGGAATTCTCAGTTAACAGTTAATTTTTTAGCCGTTTCTCAGTTAACAGTTAACCCCATTCAGACCACAGGTAGCCCAAGCTTGGTTTCTGTGGTGTYCTGCTATAAGGAAATGTATGGAGATTCATCAAAAATTTCAATAAAATCATTGAAACGTGAAATAAAGCCTCGACGTTTTACTCGATCATTGAGAAATAGCACTTCTTTTGAACTGCGTGGTTATTTTTTTGAATTTAGCCCGTTTTAAGATTTTTCCCCCCACCAGTAACCACGCAGAGCGAAATAAGTGCTATTTCTCAATGATCGGGTAAAATTTCGAGGCTTTATTTCATGTTTCAATGATTTTATTGAAATTTTTGATGAATCTCCATACATTTCCTTATAACAAGACACCACAGAAACCAAGCTTGGGCTACCTGTGTTCAGACCCTGTTATTATCTCCTGAGTCATTAAGACATTTTTCGCAAACATAGCTTAAAATGTACGTGTCCTCTAACGTTTTCACTGAGGCATGGTCAAATTTCGC